AAGTCCCAGAACAACAGCATGTCTCCCTGAGGCAGCTGCAAGGCAACCCATGAACGACTGGTGCAGCACCATTTCTAGGCGGCAGCAGCAGGGACTGCCCACAGGTGGCAGTGGCAGGGGGGTGGGGGTGAGGGTGGCAAGCAGGGCCGCCTACATTCTGGTCAACTCAGGACCATTTTCTCACATTGTTTTTAGTACCTGGCTCAAAGGATACTGCATTGGGAAAAGCTGCCATGTGGATTAATGCACTTTAGGATAACCACCCACAGAATAATCCGAGAGGTGGGAGGACTGGCTAATCCCTTTTGTGCAGATAGTTATGCCTTCCCGTCTACACAGCAGAAATACCAAATCAGAACAACCCAGTCACATTACAAAAAGCCCTGACAGGGCAAGAAACTATATTAACCTTTCTTTATGTAGATACAACTCATCTGTGGAGCTGACAAATTTTAGAATCTTCTGAACCTGGACTGGACACAAGCCCTAAAAACTACACATCTTCCGAAATGTTGCTGTAACCCCAACGGTCAGCCAGAGATTAACACACAGTCTTGCAGTTAGCCATATCCTTCAGTTGAGTTACTGGACATTATGGAAGGTGCAAAATCTGCTTCCCTTCACTATTCCTTTTAAATCCAACCTACTGCTTCCTCACTTACCTGGTTCTGAAGCATAGTGAGGGGTATATCTTCCTTGCCTGCCGAGTCGGATGCATGGAGCCAGCTCTGTATAGGAAGTGTTTGCTTTAGCAAGGAAATATAAGCACAGAAGATGTCGGCTTTGACATTCTCCTCTCGTTCCTTGAATCTGCTTATCAAAACTGGGGAGAGATTTTTATAGAAATCCTGAAGGAGATCATGTCTGGTGCTGACAATGGCTTCCAGGCATTTTGCTGCAGACCTGCGGACTTTCCAGCTGATGTCATCATCATCGCTGTACTCATCATCGCTCTCTGGAAAGGATGAGGAGAGGAAACAAGTCACATCTTACAAGAAAAACACAAGAGAATCAATACATCCTGATGTTTCCCTTTCTCTTCTCTTCAGCATTAAAATAAAATACAAGATACCAATAACTAACATGCATCGGGGAACAATCGGATCTGGGTTATTCTGAACAATTTCCATCAAAAATTATCAGCATTCAGTGAATTATGGTCGTTGGTGCACATCCCTACTGCCCTGTCCTTAACAGTGTCAAGGCCTGGTGCCATGTACTGGTTGCAGCATGACCCCTAATATACCTACAGCTCAAGGCTGCAAGGGTTTTGCACTTTGAAGGTAGAAATCAGTTCAAGTCAAGAGACAGCAGGAGTAAGAGGAAGCAGTACTCACGACCAAGTACCCTTGACTGCTAAAAATGCATCCAGGTCTAGAATGAGCAACTCATTTACCCTGAACATTCATTTCCTTCTAAACCCCGTCCCATTCATTAAAAAAGAGGGGTGGGGGGGAATCTCTGATTCTTGTGACGTCTAGGTTTATCACTAGATATATCCTGAGGACCAATGGATATTTTTAAGGATGGCCCTTTCTTTGGATTTTTAGGAGTATGCTTAGTTCCACAAATTTACCCGTGTCCATTTGATAATTCTTGTTGTGAGCTGGTTTAAATCATATCAAAATTGGTAGGTTTTAGCTTGATATACAATAGCTGTATTAAGTAGACATCACCCACCCAAAAACAAAGGCATACCCAAGGATATTCAGCTCCCTGCCCGGCTAGTTTGTCAGTTCTAACAAATTCCACCTTATCTATAACAAGCATACTTCAGGAAAGATGCAGTAATAAACTCCAGGTTTGGCAGAGAGGGTGTGGGTGTACGCGCGCGCACACGTGCAGGCACCTTGTTCTTCATCCTCCCCATTCCCAGTCTCCATCATTTCTTCTTCCTCCTCCTCTTCCTCATTATCATAGTTATAATTTGGGTCATAAGTGATATATTTCAGGCACAATCCCATCACGCTAGGGATGTGAGGACCAATTTCCTTTGGACACCTAGCAGAACAAACAAACAAGAAAAACCCTTAAAAAAAATGACAATTACTGCTTTATGTAAAACCAGCACCATCCATCTTAAAGTCCTTCCAGATTGCTGAAATAAGTTATACAGAGTACAGCATTTCCCTTTGCCACGGAGCACAAAAGCAAGGTTACAATTTAAGCAGAAAAGCAAGCTTCTAATTCCCATTCTCCACTACCTGAAATTTCTCCTGAAAAACAAATTCCCACCACACACACACAAATAAGCCTCCTCTCCATAAGACCCTTTCCTTCAAGGCCAAATCACCTACAGAGAATTTCAGCATGTTAAGAATGGGCTGCTATGTCCCAGTCTTCAGCGTATTGTTTCCTCACATTCATTGCTCCCAGCATCAAAAGTCTGAGCTGGTTTCCTCTTGTTTGGCCCCCTCCAAAAACACTGCTTAAGTGAGATCCAGCTGGAATGAGTACTAAACTGCCATTTGCAATGTTTCTTTTGCCCATGTCATCTTAGACTCCTTAGGTCAAGAACATTTTCCTTTTATCTACTGGCTAAAACAAATATTTAAGATTCTATATAAAGCCCAACTGCCTCTTAAAAAAGGATTCTGTTACTGGATCTCAAAAAATGGTCTAGACTGTTTTGGTTTTCCCTGAGGCCCCTTTGCACAGGAATTTCCAAGAGGGGGACACTAGAACAGAAATAAAATTAAATATATTATATTCAAGGGCACTCACCTTCTTACAAAAGACTCAAAGGCCTGAAAGCAGTACTCCCTCAGTTCATCATCCTCCACATTACAATACTGAACAATCAACGGGATTATCTTCTCCAGATGTTCTCCTGAATAGGGCAGAGTAAAAAGCAACTTTGAGCTTGAATCACCACTCGATCATTAGCCATTCTGTTCCAGTGTCTCTCAACATTTTTAACCTGGATCTCACTAAAAATGTGAGCTGCTGTCCAAAGAATTAACAGAACCGACTTCTGCTTCCATACAAAGTAGTCATCCAAGCAGCTGAACTCCTACATCTAATCCCAGCTCCGACAGCATCTCTGACTAGTTACTCAAATGCACTTGGGATATGGAGAGAGAAAATAAAATAAGGCTATTCATGATAACCTACCATCATGGATGATGTGAGGATTAACCTTTAAGTGCAGCATTTCCCATCCAATACCTTGAAATAAAAAGTGCTACAGAAGTATAGCTAGGGGTCCACTTCCCTTGCTAAGCCTGAGTGGCAATCAGAAACAGTATGCTGCATGGAGTTATGAAGTGCTAGCTACAAAAATACTTGAAACAATGTAAATAACCTTTGCTTTTATGATTTAACAGGAGCAGATTTAAAATGTGTGTGTACATGTCTGGAGCTGTCATTCTAAGTGACTGGTCTTACCTATGCGGTGTCCAGCCTGCCTGCTGATTCCAGCAATACACTGGATATATGTTCTCGTGGTAGAAGTAGACTCATTCCTCTTCAGCTCAGCTAACAGGTGCTCCATGAGTTCTGAGAAGATGTTTCCATTGCAAGTCAAGACCAGGTGGCCCAAAGCAATGATAGCCCTTTTTCGCACAGCCAACCTGGGGCTTGTGAGCTGAGGAAGGAGGCAGTTCAGGATGGAGGAATGAAAAGAGTAAAGGGTTGCCCCTAACCTGCAATCAGAGGCAATATACAAATGAGAAATTCAATCCTCAGAACAGAGGCTCTCTTTGCTGATAAAACTGAAAGGCAGAGTAAAATTAAGTGACAAGTACATCTCTAACAAAAAGATGGTATTTTAAGTTTAAATCTCAGGTTGATCCAGGTAGCTCAATTCCCGCTTCTGGGAATCAAGAGTTTGATATTGATGATGTCATTTTGAGTGGTCTAGGAGTTTTGGTACTGAAATCCTGAGGACAGTGGACAGGTTTACACAGAGTGCTGACACTGAGTTATGTTAGCTATAGATCAGAGAAACAGTTAAGCTAGAAAACAAACCCTATGTAAGACCAAGTCAGACATGCTAAAAGTGATTTATTTTTCTCTTTCCATTCTCCACCCCTCCCAAACATTCCTGGTGTTCAGTTCAACTCAAACTTCCTGATGTTCCTACATTGTTCCCAAGCACAGAAGAAACTATTTGTGCAGCCTCTTACCTCTACTGGGCCATCTTATCCTCCCAGCTTCTTCCCAAATGGCAGCTACCCCAAACCCTTTATATTCTAGTCTTCAAAGTAGTATGAGAAAAACAAAAGCTGTAAGGAAACACCCTCTGTGCAGCCCCCTGCTGTACGCAGCCACTTGAAGGAAATCCTTTGGTACCTGCTCAACATATCTGACAGGATGTCAAGAGCCTCTAATTGAACAGATACATCCTCCTGCTTGCCAATGGCTCCAGTCAGCTGGGCTGTGATCTTTTTGCACACATTTGCCGTCATGGTGGAACCTAAGAACAGAGACAAATGTTTCTTAGCTTTAACAACATCC